TATATATATATATATAAAAAAACATAAGATTTTTATTTAGCTTTTAACATTAAAGAATTCTTGGAGTCATTGTGACTAGTGTTCTGAAAACATCCTCTCGGTGTACAGTGGCAGTCAAAACAGTGTAAAATATTAGGAACCATTAGGGGAAAGTAAGACAGAAAATATCATGATGCCTCTATATAATCCATGGTACACCCACACCTAGAATACTGTTTGCAGTTCTGGTTTTCTTATATAAAAAAAGATAATTGGAACTAGAAAAGGCGTACAGAGAGGCAACTGAAATGACTGGGAGTTGAACAGCTTACATGTGAGGAGATTTTAAAGATTTGGTTCATCTAAGAAAAGAAGTGAGGGAGGGGGAAGGGGGTTATGATAGTCTATAAAATCATGAATGCTGTGGAGAAAATGAATAGGGAACTTGTGTTTATTCTTTCATGTAAAACAAGAACCAGGATCACTCAAAGAAACTAATAGGCAAAAGGTTTGAAACTAAGTTAAGGAAATAGTACTTCACACTACATACACAGTCAGTCTGTAGAATTCACTGCCAGGGGAAGAAGCAGTGAAAACAAAATGTATAACTAGGTTCAGAAGAGAATTAGGTAAGTTCATGGAGGATGGGTCCATCAATGATTCTAAACGTCTGACTACCAAAAATCTGATTGGATGACAAGATCGATCATTCAGTAATTATTCTGTTCTGTTTCATTCATCTTATAAGTTATCTGGCGCTTACCTCTGTCAGCATGGCCAGTCTCATGTTTGTGTTTAGGTGACAGGCAGGGCTATCTGGTCCCATCCACAGTGAAGAAAACACCACACCAGAGTACCAAATTACAATGCTGTAGTCCCCTTGGATAGTTTGCAGTTAGAAAATAGGTGAGGGTATTTAGTCAGGTAATTAATTTCTTTGAAAGCTAAAATGTTTCCTTCAGCTGCTACCTCAGTGACCTTAAAATTATTACCAAGTTGAGGAAACTTTTAAACATACCAGTATGTATCCTCTCACACACCAGACTGGATCCCACAAACATCCAGTATGAACAAATAAAATGTACTTTCATGCTGCCTGCTGGGCAAGCTTGAAATTGTAAATCATGTTACTGATTAATTAGTGAACCTGACTTGCGCTGAAAATGAAAACTGTCCTGCCTCAGTTTCCTTTAAATGTCACTAACTACAAAAATAAAAAATTGGATTTGCTCACCCATCTTACTAAATTCTTGTTCCATTTGCCAGTTGTACTTTATTGTATACTTTGGAAAGAATGCACATACTCCATATATACACACATTCTCTGAAAAATGAAGCGCATCGTACTAGCGTTCAGTGACAGTGTCCAAGGAAATGGAGGTCAGAGCCTAGTGTCCTTCTTTGCTTCGGGTCCGGTATTCTTTGGACAAGCCACCTCAATATTTTGTTGCTAGCCTGCTTGTAAATTAGGTGGGTTTTTTTTCCAGGTTGGACAATGTTCAATATCCCTACCAACTCTACATTGCCCCTTCTACCAGCAGCACAGAGCGACCCAGCCCAAATGGCCCAGATAGACCTTTTCAGTGTCCAACCTGTGGGGTTCGATTCACCCGTATTCAGAACTTAAAACAGCATATGCTTATCCACTCAGGTAAGAAAAGTTCATTGTTTCCATGAAGAAATGGGTCATGGATCTGAATGCCTGCTGATTGTACACCGTGTTTTAGTGCTAGAACTATGGTTTTGAATGAACTCTGTATGCAAATTGACTTTTTTGCTCCAATCTTTTTCAGGGAGGGGAAGAATTTCCTAAAATTTGGGATTAACCGCTACGTGTACACCTGTTTTCCTTACATACAGTCTAGCTATGTTGGTGAAAACTTAAACTTTGTATGGATGAAGACATAGTGTAACCCAGAGGACTCACCAAGTGTGCCTCCTGCTGGCCATCCAGGAATTAGCGCCTTCAGCCCTGGAGCGCCCCCTTTTGGCCAGTGTCTTACCCACAGTTACTACATTCTCCACCTCTAGGTACTGCCCTACCACAGTGCCCTTATTCCGTGGTCCTCCCAATCTCCTTATGCTCACCTTGCTCAGTGACCCACTGCCAGTCTTCATCTAGTCCCTGCCACAGGGGCAAACTGCCGTCTGAAATGGCCACTCATCATTGGCAAAGCAGTGTGGACCTGCTGCTTCTGCCTATCCTGGCTGCCTCCCCAGAGCCCTAGTACCCTGAGGCCTTGCTTCAGGTCCTTCAGCCTGGGGGCTTGCCTGGCCAGAGCTCCCCAGCCCTGCTCTAAATCAGGAAGCTACTAGCTTCCCTAGCAGCAAGGTCCCTCCTGCTCCCCAGTCCTCTCTCATGGAGCCCTTATTTATACAGCCCACAGCTGGGCCCTGATCGGAAGCTATCTGCTGCAGCTGCTTGCTGCGTGGCTCCAGTATCTTTAGTGTTTGAGTTATGGAGGGGAGGGGGTTTAAAGGATTTACAGGCAAGCTTGCTTAATGCAGGGGACACCTCATTAAGAGCAACATTCATGACTTGTCATATCACTGTCTGGCCATTCACAAAGATGTTTCTCAAAGCCACTCTGATTTGCAGTGTCCCGTGTTGTGCTCTCCTGGCTGCTCATAATTAGTGGCTGGGTGCTCTGTCTTGACAACCTATCCTGGCGTAATATTTTCCCCTCTTACTTTCAGAGATACTATGGAGCCCACAGCAGGCTTTCGCTGGGGTCTAACCTGGTCAGTAAACTGCAGAACCGTCCCTTTAAACATCTAAAAGCACATTCTACCGCCATTCTGTGCTTGTTCAGCCTGTAGTTAATTTGTTCCTTATTGCAGTCCAGGCTGCCTGTGTATGGCTGCATGAGCCACGGGAGCATGGGATAGGCTGGATCTCCAAAAGTCACTATTAGCATTTCAATGTCTCTGATGGTAATTTTCTGGTCTGGGAAGAGAGTTCCATCTTGCAGCTTTCTGAAGAAACCTAAAGATATGTATGTCATGCACCTTTTCTGACCATCCCACGTTGATGTTGGTAAAATAGCCCTTGTGATCCACCAGGGCCTGCAACACCATCAAGAAGTACCCCTTGTGGTTTGTCCTCTTTGGCAAGGTGGTCAAATGCCAAAATAGGGATGTGCATGTCACCTTTGCCCTACCGCAGTTAAGGAACCTCTCTGCAGCAAAGCCATCCACTATGTTCTGCACGTTTCCCTGAGTCATTGCCCTTGACAGCAGACGAGTATTGATCACCTTGACTACCTGGATCACAACAGCCCCCACTGTAGATGGGCCAACTCCAAATGACTCCCAGCTGACCGGTTGCTGTCTGGCACGGCAAGCTTCCATAGAGCTATTGCCACTCAAACTGTCAGAGCGGGTCTCATTGAGGGATGCTAAAATTCACTTACATAGGTTACCGTGTAGCCACTGAAACTCTCGTCCGCAACGTGCTGCAGAATGCACAGCAGAGCCTCCCTAGGAGCGGGGCTGCCAGCGCCTGCCGGCCTGGCTCCCAGGGAGGAGGCTTTGCTGTTGCAGAGAAGCTGCCTCCCAAGGGAAGCTTCGTCCCTGGGAGCCAGGCAGCCACCCTCTGCCGCAGGGAAGTCTCCTCCCTGGAAGCGAAGCAGGTTTTGCAGCCACTGCTGATTGTCCTATAGCGCTATAATTAGGCAGTCCCACTAGTCTGTGCTTGTCTCATGGCACCAGAACTGGCATTCCACTGTGTCAAGAGGGTTGACTGCTGCCAAAGTCTGCAATTGCTTCACTCAAGTGCTTCACACAAGCGTCTGTTTATGGCTTCCTCACATTCTTCATCACTCCGGCGGGCCCTGGCTAGGCTCTGGATGTGCTGCTCAAGATGTTTGCTATGACTGCCACAACACTTTGCTGCCAAACAGAGTCCATGCCTGCCCTGCTGTGGTGTCTGCACAGATAACTAGGGGGGAAAGGGCGTGGAAAGATGGTTTGTCATTGCTTTCAAGCGGGAGGGGTAGGAGATGAATGTTTTACGGGACACTGACGACATGTATCCAGCACCATCTGCTGCATTATTTTTGTCCCTCAGGCACTCGGAGCATAGCTCATACTGCAAAGGGGGTGCAGGAACTGCCACCTCCAGTGCATCGCTGTCAAAGTCGACGGCAGTCACTCTACTGGGGATGCACAATGTCAGACTCTTGGGCATAGAGGGGATGTTCACTTTCGACTTTACAAAATCGGGTTCTAAAAATTGACTAATAAATTTGACCTAATCTTGTAGTGTACATATAGCCTCTGTTTCTTGGCCTTGGTATGCAACCCACAGAAGCCTTAGCACGGGTTTAAATTATTTAATGAAGAAGAACTCGAGAAGGATCCACCTTGTCAAAGGATCTGGTCATTATAAATCTTCCTTGTCATCCGAGAGAAAACAGATTTATGCTAATCATTTCTGCCATTTCAAAGATGGCTACTGTGGCTGGTCACAGCTGCTGTTCTCCTGTTCAACAGGAATTGCCAAACGTGACCTCCAGTCGCACAAAATAAATATTTTCCCGTCTTTTTCCCCACAGGCATTAAACCATTTCAGTGTGACCGTTGTGGGAAAAAGTTCACCCGAGCTTACTCGCTAAAGATGCATCGCCTGAAGCACGAAGGTAAACGCTGTTTCCGGTGCCAGATATGTAGTGCCACTTTCACTTCCTTCGGGGAATATAAACACCACATGCGGGTTTCCCGGCATATTATCCGCAAGCCTCGGATTTACGAGTGCAAAACATGTGGCGCCATGTTCACCAACTCTGGAAATTTAATCGTTCACCTGAGGAGTCTGAACCATGAAGCGTCAGAGCTAGCAAACTACTTCCAGAGCAGGTGAGGTGCACAACAAAAATCTAACAGGGGAAACTTGCTTTTTCTAAATCATCTCTTCCTACTTTCAGGGCAGCCTGCTCTTCCTCTCATCAGGTTGCCAGCTAATTGCAGTCACGTTCATTCTTGTACTACTATCTGTAATCTCTGATCTGCTTTTTAGAGTGTATAAACTGTATAATAAGGTGTTAAAGAATCCAGTAATATGCAAAGACTGCTTCTTTATGACTAGCTTACTTTCTTTTTCTGTTAGTATGTAAAAGCAGGTTAATAGTGCTAAAAATAACATTATATGCCACTGCCTGTGGGTTTTTATACATTGTGATGGCTATATCTGAAAGTCTGTTTAGGTGGGGGATAGGCTTATGACCTGTTTTTAAAAATTACCTTTCACTGAGGGAAAGATTTTATTATGAGACTGCAGTAATCAAGGTGATCACATCTTCTTCATCATTTTTAGGTTTATTTACTGGTAAATGATCAAATATTAAGATTTCCAACCTGTTAAACACACAGGCCCATTGCACATTTCCTGTTAATCAGGTAGCTAAGAATTGTCTTAAACAAAAACATTTCACTAAAAGCTCTTCGTTCTACGTATGAATCTTAAGGAGACAAAGTAGCACAATAATATTACAACACTGGTAACAGGGTAAATTGTTACAAACAAGAGCTTTTTAGAGAAAAGAATAACAAATAAAAGTGAATGGGGGGGGGGATACTTTAGAGAAGACAACTCTTATTAAATATTGAATCTACGGAGAACAAGTTGCATTTTAAAAAATAAAACAAGTTCCTTCACTCACGATAATGCATATGTGCACATGTAAGTAGGCTGTTTGTTTTTAAAAGGATGAAGTAAACCTGTTGTAAGTTTATTTTAGCATCATAGCAACTAAAATTCCCCAGCAATGTTCTGTTAGGTGGTTTTAGATGACATTTGTCTGCCTTATGAAAGGTTTCAACATTTTGTTTGGGGGTTAGTTCAGCATCACTGGAATAGAGAATTCCAAAAGAACATATAAATCAGGAAATGGTTGCTTGTCAGCTGGTTTTCCCCAAAAATATAGTTTAAAAGTACAAAGTTCAGTACCTTTTGCTGTGTGCAGTTCTTTGAGGGCACCACTTGTGCCAGAGGTAGCACAAATACACCAAGAGATGATGTGGTTGTTGTGCTAAGCATGCTGCTTTGTTGCTGAATACATGAAAACACACTCCTTTTATCAGTTTACTGTGCCATATTTGGTTTTGAAAGTACAGATAAAGTGCACCCTCCTCTACAGAAAGAAGAGCCGTTGAATCTCGTATAGTTATTCTAGGAAACTGCACCCTTTTGAATGGGCTACATGGGAAGACCAAAGAGTGCATGTACTGGTTTTAGTTATGAATCTATCTGGTGCTGAATATTTGCCAAAAAGCTGACTTTATCATGCTCGAAGAGAGTAAATCAAGAAATACTGGTAGAGTTTGAGAGCGCTTTCCTCTGAGCATGTTCAGTCCCTGTTTCTGAGAGTAAGCTATTTAGTTATTGTGACAAGAGCCAAGACTGGGTGGCTCATGAGGAAATAAAATTCAGTCTCCTCCTCAGTACAGTGAAACCTGTCAAGAACGACCACTCGTGAGCAAAAGTGGTCTCCTGTAAGGAATGGTTTCACTTTAAAAGATTTCACATGAACTAGTGGTGGTGTTCTGTGGCCTCTGCAAGACATCACTCGTGACAGGTGGTTTCTCTTCAGAAGTGGTCTCTAAGGCAGGTTTTACTGTCATAAGGTATGTGTCCTCGTCACAAAAAGCATCCCAGTTGGCATCTTTCTTAGTAGTGTAGCGGAGAGACCAAGGAGGAGTTGAAAGTGAATTAGCGTGTCATCTCAAATAACCCTATGTCATTGCTGAAGCCCCTTGATGGGGTCATGTGGGGTAAGGCTTTTGTTACTGCTTCCTGAGGTCCATCAGCTCTGTGGATAGAAAGCTGTCAGTCAGACTTCTTTACCTTGACTTGTTGGAGCAGTGGGTGTCATCTTAAGGTGTGTGCACAAGGTCCTGCATTAGTACACTTTGTTGTTATACTTTTGTCACCAGGTCTCAGCCCTGTGTCTTTTGCTTCCTTTATCCTTTTTAATTCCCTTTGACTTTGAACCACTCCCCTCTGAGAGGAATCTTGTGTGTGAATTTCTGGTAGATCCTGCACCCCCTTCAGAGGTTGAATGGATCTAAATTTACCTGCACTAAATTCAGTTTGTACTTTTAAAAAAAAGTTTCAGCACTCCTTTTTTTGACATGCAGGCATTCCACACCAGGAGGTCATAACATCAACTCCCATAAGAACAGCCATACTGGGTTAGACCAGTGGTTCATCTAGCCCAGTGTCCTTTCTGCTGACAGTGGCAAATGCCAGGTGCCCAGAGGAAGGGAACACAACAGGGAATTCTCACGTGATCCTTCCCGTCTCCCACTTCCAAAGAAACAGAGGCTAGGGACACCATTCCTATCCATTCTTGCTAATAGCCATTGATGGACCTAACCTCCGTGAATCTCTCTAGCTCTTTTGAACCCTGAAAAGTCCTAGCCTTCACTCCTCAAAGAACTCAAACCCAGATATGAAGTGACCCCTGAAAGAATACAGGATGCATAAACCATGAAAAAATGATATCCCAGGTATAGCTTTTCCAGGCATGTAAATAAATAGTGAGTTGTAATAGCGAGTGAAGTGTATTATTGTGAAGATTGTAGCTCTGTGTTGTGAAAGTAGTTTCTTTATTGCCTGTGAAGTGCAATAATGAACATAGATGTATCTGATATTCTTTGAAAAGTTAACATTCTCTTCTGTTCTTTGCCCCTCTTCTAGTGATTTCCTAGTCCCGGACTACTTAAACCAGGAGCAGGAAGAGACCCTTGGGCAATATGAGCTAGGAGAGCATGGGTTTGAAAGCAACTCCTCTGTCCACATGCCTGTTATTTCACAGGTCTCTTCGACTCAGAATTGCGAAAGCACTTTCCCCTTGGGGTCTCTGGGTGGGTTGGCAGAGAAGGAGGATGACATGCCGGAGCAGCCAAAGACTAATGCCAGTGCCGAGGCAACCAGTGATGACCCCCCGAAATCAGAGCTGTCCTCTATTACTATTGAATAATTCATGGTTTGGTTTCATTTTTGTTCTTTGGAAAGTGCCTGTGTTTGGTCCTGTACATTTTAATTTAATTTTTTAAAACAAAAGGAGGGAGATTTTCCCTTTTTACTTTGTAAGCTACACTTTAAACAGAAAACTGCAACAGATGTTACATTATTTTTCATGACTGACTCATGAATTCTGTGAAAATGTTTTCAGACTGAATGCACAATACGGTCCTGTCAGAGCATCATGGAAGCTATAATGCACTTCTAAAGAAGAAGCAATCGACTGAAATCACTTTAACTTCCTTCTTCCAGAATTAGAACAGCTCATTAAATTTCTAGTGCTTCTGGAGAGCCGCTGGTAAAGGGAGAGAATCAGAAGACAATTTTAAAATCACCAGTATAAGGATGCATGCTTGCAAGCAATTAATGAGCAGAGTTTTGACTAACTTTGAATAGATGCTTTAGTCCTCTGCTTAAAGTATGGCATGTCCTATCTTTGTCGTTGCTGTTTTCCAAACTGCTTATTATAACCCTTTTCTTGGAAATGGTAAGCATTTCTGAAAGCTAACAGTGCTGCCTTTTAAAAAATGTTTCTTTACAGCAATTTCTGAATCCCTGTTGACAAACTGAGTGACACCAGGCCAGGTCCTCTCATTTCTGATATTCCACTCCTTTTAGAAACTGCTAGTTTCAAATAAGCTATCATGATTTGCTTATATGGAGCAAGGCAGACAGTCAAGGAAAGTATAAATCCGTGCAAGCCTGACTAATCTGTCATCACAGCATCTCTCTGTAAAGGAAACCACCTTGAAAAAAAGAAAATGTGTCCCAGACTAAAATTCTAAAACTTTGGCCAGACTGCTTGCAGTCCTAGTCACTTTCCCCTGTCACACATATCACTAACCTCTAATAGCTGGCTAGAGGGAGTTTACAGAAGGGAAAAAATGAGTTATTTTATGCGTGATTGCACACTTTTTTGCTTATACATATGCACATATGCTTTCTGGGGTTGTTATTATTAGTCTGTTTTGGACAAATCAAGCAATTTATTGTTTTTAGAGTCCAAGTTTCTATCCCAACAGGGGGTTGTTTATAAAAACTCTATGTAACAATGATAAATTGTTCTTGTTCCAACACATTTTAAACCTTTGCCAAGTTAGTTTATTAAAGGTCCTTACTCCAGCTAAGTACACAGCTCAAGCAAGCAATAAAGTGAAAGATTTTCAATTTAATTTTTTTTCAGATTTAGAAAAGACTGCAAATTTTAGGTATGGGATTTTCAGAGCAGTGATTCTCATTTTGTTGCAGGTAGTTTGGGCTATAATAATGCTTAAACTAGGGGCTGTCTAAATTCTTTGGCTGCTGCTGAAATTAACTCTGATACACAAACGGCTGTGTCCTGCAACCTGCTGAGAGCTTATGTATTACCTGCGGGTAGTATTCTTAGGGCATGTATCAGCTGCCCTTCATTTTAGTTCTGCTTAGAAAACGTATACCTTCTAGACGGGTCATTCTGACGCACACATTTCATTGAAAGAGGAAAATAGAGACATTGGGGAGGTAAGGAGCTCAGACAGTGTGATTAGTGAGTGGGCAATGACTTCAGCAATTCTAATGTTACTGTAGAACTATGAAATATATGCTGATGTAGCTAATCATTGTAAAGCTTGTGGCACATTGGTAATATTTTAAAAGGCTTCAGTGGTAACATGCTTACACGTTTCTAATGCTTCTTTAAACAAGATTTCCTTACCCTGTGCTTATTTAAAAAATTAATAAGATTCCCAGTTTTTTTTCAAATTATTGAAACTTAAGTTTTTTGGTGGGTTTTTTTCTCAGATCTGCAGAAAATTTCTCAACTACAGTTCATCTTATATGTCTCTCTTTTTTATAAAGGGCTTAGAGTAGAACTAATTTTTATTCATGGCACTGTTCTATGAGTCCAGTATCCATTGGAGGGACTGGATCAGATGACTGGTCCTCTTCCACTTCTGATTTCTGTCCTTAAAATCCAGTGACCGGACAATGTCTGTTAAATAATCCTCTTGCCACCACCCCTCCCAGTAGTTCAGAAAAAAGTAGGATCTGGTACTAAACTAATTCATGATCCTCTTTATTTATTACAAAAGCATGAGTCTTCCTTGTACATGACTGTTTTTAATCAGTCGTAAGTTAAAAAGCCCTTAGGTAGACACACAAACTCAGACTTTACAGCTGTCCCACTGAGAATAATGTGTAATGAATTAACACATCACATAAGGATGGCCTTATTCCTTCTGCCAAAAAAAAGGTGGTTTTCAACCTGGGCAAAATATGTTCTAACACATTATTTAGTGGTCATGAGAGGTGCAGATGCAGAACACACATACCTAGAATAACTGGATTTTAGAAGATTTGAAATTGTCAGAAAGTTAGCTGCTATCTGAAATGCTGTGGAGAACACATTAAAACTTGGTAGCTATAAGGTCTGTATTGTAGCTCTGATCTGTTCTTTGGTTGGTATTTGTAATTGTTTCCTCTTAACATATGTATCCCTTCTCCGTAGAGTTGAGTCCAAATGAAATGCACATCTTGTTTCATTTCTCTTGTCCCTATCCCTTTCTCCCTATCTTTCTGGAAGTGCTCAGTTCTTGGGAATACTAATGTCCCTCCCAGAAGAAATTTAAAACAGTCTAAAATTTTACATCAAGCCCTATTGCTAGATATGTAGGAGATAAATGTCTAAATAAACTGAAAGCAGCATGCCTTAGACTACACTGGGGATTAAACCTGAAACAACCTCTTTTAAAGATATCGGAGGAGTTGGATTCTGGGATTGCTTTTTCTAAAATAGATACTAGGAATTGTTATATTTTTGCTAAATTGTAAGTTTGTTTTGAATTTTTCACATAGAGGGGATTCAGTTTAGTGAGGCAGTAGCACCCCGTGCAGCAACTGTTAATTCACAAGTGTTCTCCAGGTGGTTTGAACGTGTTTTCCTTTTGCATAACCTTCTAGTGCACAGAGGGGCAATCTGAAGATTTAAGCGGAAAATCCTCCCTTGCCACCACGGAACGTGGATGGTTCTGCCATATGGGAGTGAGCGGGACTCAGGGATGTGGGTCTGCCTTCTGTACAGATGGAATGGTACATTGCTTCAAAGTGGAGGGGAGAGAGCCACCTCTGGCTCCACACGGGGTGAGGGTCAGCAAGGCCCTTCCCAGCCGCACAGGGAGATAGAGGAAGAATAGTTGCTTCAGCTGTGCGCTGGTCAATGTGGCCAAGTAAGAATTTCCTTTTGATGCATGCCCACGCTGCTCCTATTGATGTCAACGGGGACACGTTCACCTTGAGGAGAGTAAGCTTTCAGTACAACTTCAGTGGCAGTTTTCTGCTGCAGTTTTATTATCACAGGTTCAAATAGTTGTCCCTGTTGGTTTGTTTTTCTCACTGCAGTTTGAGTTCAGTTGTCAGGCTAGCAAGCACTGTGGTCAAGTCTCTCATACTGAGAGTTTAGTTGACTAGATCTTTGAAAATGGTTCTGGTTTTCACGAGGCTGAAAGGTGTGAACTTAAACTTTTTAAAAAAGTAATAGCTGCCAATGCAGTAAAATATATTTTGTAAAACTATGGTCCCTAGATCCCTTATGGGATAAAATGGTATTGTTTTTAAGATACAACTTTACGTTTTTCTATGTGGGCTTCAGTCACTTCTTGGTTGCTGGTTTCCCCCTCCAGTCCAAAGACTTTAGAGCATGAGAATTTTGCCAACCTCTTTTCAGGGCGTCTGCTATAGCATTTTATATTCAATTTGGAGGGGGAGGGACTTTGTGCATAGTGCATGGATTGGCTGGCATAGGTAATAAACAAATGAAGGGAGCACCTTCTGTTCCTAGTTAAATGTGGGCAGAAGTACGTACTGTCACACCATCAAAAATGGGGGCGGACTGGACCTCAGCCACATCAGAGGTTACCAGCAGAACATAGTTGGTGCAAAATATTCAGAGGGAATAAACCGTAAAATGTGAACTTAAAAAAAAAAAAACCCAACAGGTTGTTAAAGCTCTGGGGTTTTCTTAACTCTCTGGGTGCTAAACACTCACTCAGTATCCTACAGGGCTTGCCCACAGATCTGGTTGCACTTAAAAAAAAAAAATCCGTTTCTGGGGCTGACAGCCCATGTGGAAACCAGTCTTCCTGACAGCTGATCAAGTCCCCAAAGGAGACTTTGACCATTTTGTTTCGCTGATGCATGCTTTTGAGATGAACTATAGTCCTGCCTGCAGGCAAGTCCTCGGTGGCTTCCTTGCCCCTCTGTTTCAGTGCCTTGACTCTGAGCACTGGCCAGTGATGGAACCCTTAAGTGAGAGAGGGTAAAGCTGAAGGAAAAATGTGAATTGAATTATCATTGGGCTTCTTTGTGTGTTTTAGTAACAGTGCAACCCTTTTAACTGTGCCAGTCTCCAGTCACCAGCCATATATCCAGTCGTCATCTCATACACAGTACAGCTTCTCTTGTTGACGCTGGTCACAGCTAGATTACTTGGCATGTTTATTGACTTACCAGAAATGTTTTTTTGGTTTTGTTTTTAATGTAAACGATGTTTAAATACACTTCACATTTTATATAATACTATCTGGCTATTAGTATTTTTCAGGAACCATAGTTCTTGGTGGCTATATATATTTTTGTGACTTTTTTTGTAAACTAAGTGCCGTTTTAACGTTACAATCATTTTTAGAGTTCTTGTAATCAATGTGAATATCATGTTTTTTCAAATCTGTTCTGAGCCTGTAGTGTTTGCTTTGTGATCATGTGTAATGTATATATTCTGTATAGTTACATTGTACTGAAATACTAGCTTGTTTGATAATAAGAAAAGTATGTATTGGATACTTTTTTGCTAGCCTGATTGTTTAATCTTTAAAAAAAGTTTTAAAATACACACAAAAAAATCTCCAAATTGGTCCCCTTCTAGATCAAAATTAAAGGGGGGAGGAGGAAAAACTAGTTTTGAGTGTCTTTGGATAGAAACACGAAGCTAAGATTTTTTTCATTAAAATATTAATGTTTTATGGAGTATACATTTGCTTTGTGTCGTTACTTTACCATTGCAAAGTACACCTTAGCGTACAGACGACAGACTAAATTCAGCTCTGCTGTAAGCTGGTGTAACTTAGTGGAATTTCAGCCTTTAATATTCTATTAGTGTTGACTTTGGGCTGTAGTAGTTCAATAGGGTGTGAAAAATGGAAAAGCCAGTGAGATTCCAGAGTACAAGGTGAGCATCCAAGGGGAGAGGTTAGGACCAGTTGGGTTTTCAGGATTTCATGCTCTTACTTTCCCTTTTGAAAACTTTGCCTTGTGACTGGTGCATGTTGTTGGAATCATAATTTGCTTTGTTTGAGGAACATCAAGGTTCTGGTAAAAAAATATTTTGGACAGATTTATAATTTAAGATGGAGGCCTTGACACTCCTCTGGTCACACTGCCCTGAAAACAGGAACCTTAGAACATCACTGAGAAGATATTCGGGCCAAAATTGGAAAGCAGCAGTGATTCTGAATGAACTGTCACGAATGGAAAGCCAGCATTCCAATATATGAGCCTCAGCGTGAACATCTACTGAGATGAGGCAGGACCAATGTAGTGTGTTCCCCTTATTGATCTGAGGACTCAGGGGTCACTTGCATGTGCAGGCAAGGGGACTTTGAGTTTGATGTGCAAATTTTTCAATTGCCTGTGCAATTGTACTCTCTGAGAGTGTCTCTAGACTACAGTGTGAGTCCAGAGTTAGTAAAACTCAAGGTAGCAGATCCTGGGTTTGCTAACCTAGGAGTTGAGAACATAAGAGTGGCCAGACTGGGTCAGACCAAAGGCCCATCCAGCCCGGTACCCTGTCTGGTGACAGTGGCCAATGCCAGGTGCCCCAGAGGAAGTGAACAGAAACGGAATCATCACGTGATCTTTCTCCTTTCATCCATTTCCAGCTCCTGACAGGCTAGGGACGCCATTCCTACCCATTGTGGCTCCACTTATTTGTAACCTCAGGATAAGAACAGTGTTCCCTCTAAGCCTCCAATGGAACCTAGGACTTACCCCTGGCTTGCCTGGAGCTGGTTCCCGAGGCTCAGGATTCCTCAGCATTGGGAAGCCCATGCTGGCATCCTGCCCCCACCACCATCCCACTGCGGTCCTGGAGTGCACAAAATCTGCCAGCCTGGGCCCCCGAGGCTCCGGTGTGCGAGGGGAATGTGAGGAGTGTCTCTGCAGTGAGGGTTTGGGTGGGTTTTGTTCCTTTCTCGTGCGTGGCCCCTGACTGATTTTTCTGTGCGTCAGTGGCCACCAGCCCAAGAAAAGGTTCTCCACCCCTGCTGTGAGTCTTGCACTTGTGCGGCTGTTCAGGAGAAATGTAAAAGCAGCCCAGCTGATTAGCAGAGCACCCTGCTAGGTTTTGTGTTTCTGTTGGTGCACATTGGCACCTGCCTCTGTGCATATAAATAGAAAACACAAGCAGACTTTCCCAACGTTGCCCAGGTCCTTCAGGGCAGGGCCTTGGGGATGGGGGAGGGAGGGAGACACAAGTCTGAGTGCCAGGGGTGTGTTCTCTCCCCCCAGCATCCCCTGTGACCACCCGGGGTCTGTTCTCTTTCCTCCTCCCTTCCCCCAGGCTGTCCAGGTCCGGTTCGCTTCCCATCCCCCCGCTGATGCTGGGAGAGGGGTAAAGGTTTGGGGCAAGGGCTACTTGCCAGCCCTTCTGGCCACTCCCAGCTGGTATGGCTGTCCCCCAGTGGCCACACTGATGTCATCCCTCTGAAAGCAGCCCCTCCCTTTGCATGTCATGGGAAACAGTCCCTTTCCCGGGGCTTCCGCTTCTGCTGGCACAACCGAACCCTGTCCTTGCTTTAAGTTAGGGGAGGAAGCTGCACACCCAATTTGGTGGCCCTCGCCCTTACCATTTCGGAGGAGTTCTTGAACAAATGGATTCACAGACAGAAAAGTTCCTTTCTTCAGCCAGGCTCCTGTGAAGGAGCCAGTGTAGAATCAGTGGGCACAGATTGGCTTATACCAAGGTTGGATACAATTCCCAGTGCTTGAGTCAGTATTAATGACTCGAGCCTGGAGCTATAGTGCCTTCTTCTTGGAGATAGGACGGCTACATCCAAGGGCTGATGCCTGAGATTCTGCTGCCGTGAATGGTAGACACAGAACACAGTGGAAGTCTGGGCAGATGTAATTCCTCAGAGGGGAAAAACCTCCCAGCTGAGAACAAATGTCATCTGAAACAGAGCATGGGTGGTGGAGGAGGAGGCAGGTCTTGTTTCATCGTCAAATCGCTGCTAATTTTCTGAAAAAATTCTGATGAAAATGACACAATATAGAAACACCTTTTTCTCACGGAGTGATCCCATCTTCTACGTGTAACTTGTCACATTTTGGCATAAAATGATCTTTAGAAGCTTGATCCTGCACACAATGAAATCTATAGGTAACGCTGCTACTGGCTTCAAGTTCATTGAAGCATTAAACCATCTGCTTCAATCTGTTCTTGTTCAGCGAGGCACTCTTGTGCTTGTAGGCCTTGCTGAATTGGAGCTTCCACCGACGCTAGTGGCTTCCTTCATTTCCTTTCCGCTGAGCGATCTACTTGAACTCCAGTGTTGAAATGGATTTGTGGAAGCTACGTTAGATGTTGGACTGTAAATCGCAGAAGAAGGGGCGATAAGATAGACCAACATAATGTGGCAGTGTTCAATAGAAGCAGAATAGAAAGCTATCAAAATTACATGGTAAGAAGGAAAGGCCTGGCTATTCACATAGCTGAAGTTGATGTTCTTAGACCAACTTACCATGGTGTTGTCTATGCACTAAGGTTGGTGGCTTCCGCTCTCCTGTCAACTCCTTACTCGTCTCCTCATGGTGAAGTACTAGAGTCAACAGGAGAGTGCTTGGAGGTCGATGTATCGTGTCTAAGCAGACGCGATAAATCGGCCACCAGTGGATCGATCGTTACAGCATCAATCCACTGTGTAGTGGGGACAAGCCCAAAAACTGCAGCAAGAGACCAGCAATGACAAAGGCTCTATGCTCTGCATGTAACAGGTGTGGGAAAGAGGGATGGACACTACACCGTTCATGTCTATTTACACACAACCAGACACGTGAACTGTGTAGAATAAAATCCTTCAGAAAGAAGGGTCTGAAGTGCTACAGAATAGACAACAGAACTTTAGAGAGGGGGGGAAAATCCTCTCCAAGTTCAGACTTCATCTTTCCCACAATTCTTTTTTTATGTTAAGCCTTTCTGTAACATCAGCGCTATAGCGATCCGTTTCAGGGCTGCCGTGACAATCCTGATAAACACTGTTATGTAACCTCGTAGATGATGGAGCTGAAATTAATAGATTTCAAGGAAAAGACAAACAACAAGAGAAGCCCGTCAGGGAGCTTATGTTTAAAATAAATACAAGCCTTTCAGGCTGACCTTTTTCCAAAGTTAAAACAAGTCCTGTATATGAGAGCTGCTTGAGGAACGGTCAGCTAAAAGGAGCTGCCCTTAAAAACACCATTTATGTTAAAGGGAGAACCGTGCTCTCAGAGCCGTGACACGTTTGTGTTTGAAGGGGGGGGGTGTTATTTAATAGTTTGATGCTATGTCAATTTTGTTTACATGGTTAAAAATACTTTAAAAAATTCTTTAACATGAGAGCCAAGTGTAAATCAGCCAGGTCCATTGCCTACAGTGGAGCTATGCCTACTCAGGATATGGCCTATATGTGTAACATTCCCCCACTGTTTGCCTTTTGCCATCTGGCAAACGTTCCCAGGTTTCTGAGTGGCACTCAAGTCAGCCTGGCTGGATTTGGGCTAACGAGGGGTTTAACTGCGGTGTTAGAGGTTCCTACTTGAGCTGCAACCCTGGCGCTAGGAGCTGGAGAGGAGTCTTAACCCAATGTGCAACTGTGCATGTTAATTGCAGTGTAGACGTACCATAGGGAACCAAGACTGAATTGAGTTTGCTTTCCTTTCTCCAGAGGGGTTTC